CCGCCGGCGGCGGCGCGGCGCCGCCGTACGCGCCTGCGGCGGGGTGCTGCGGGTGGTAGTGCGGCGGCTGCTGCGCGCCCAGCGTGAAGCTGGACGATGCAGTGACCCGCGGCGGCAGCGGGCCGTACGGCTGCGGGTAGCCGGCCGCGGCGGCGTTGGCCGATCGCGCGCGGGGGCCATACTCGGGGCCGCCGCCCCATGCGACGCCGCTGGCGGTGCTAGTCGTGTCTGTCCACGCGTCCCCACCCTCCTCCTCGCGAGCCGTCGGCGGGCCCCCGCGCGGCAGCGGCGCTCCCGCGCGCCATCGCGGGTCCTGCCGCGGCAGCGGCGCGGCGTACGGCTGCTGCAGCTGCGCCGCCCAGGAGGCGCCCGGGTGCTGCTGCTGCAGCGACGGCGGCCAGTGGACGGCAGTGTGGCCGCCGCGGGGGACGTCGGGGTACGCGGGCGGCGGATACTGCATCGCCCCAGACGGCATGCCCAGCTGCGGGCCCCCTGCACCGGCGTCCCACCCCGCAACTGCCTGCGGGTCGTACCCCGCGGCAGCCTCGTAGTACTGCTGCGCCTGCTGAGCCTGCTGCGCAGCGGCGGCCTGCGCGGCGGCGCGCTGCATCGCCATCTGCAGCACGTGGTGCTGCTCGTCCGCCATCGCCTGCGCGTGGGCCATCAAGACCTGCGCCTCCTGATTGTCCGACGTGCCCCTTGACAGCCCCGGGGTGCGGTTGGCCGAGGAATGGGGGCTCGAGGAGGTAGCGCCGCCCAAATACGCGTCCCGCTCAGACCCGGACGGCGCCGGGCTGTCGCGCCCCGCCACGCCGCGCACGTGCGGCCCCGCGCCGGCGGCGCGGAGGACGTGGGCGGCGGCAACTGCCGCGCTCGAGGGGCCGTACTGCGCAGAGGGGCTGGGGCCGGCGCTGCTGCCGGGCGGCGTGGGGCTCAAGAGGCCGCCCAGCCGCTGCTGAGGCTGTGGCTGCTGCTGGTTGTCCGCGGTCGGCGCATAGTAGCCGCCCGGCAGCTGCCGCGCCGGCGGCGGTGCCTGGTAAGGGTAGCTGGGCGGCGCAGCGCCGCCCGGGCCGTAGCCTGGCCCGTAACCGGATCCATAGCCTGCGCCCGGCGCTGGGGGCCCGTAGAACCCAGGACCATAAGGCATGCCCCCGGACGGCTGCTGCGGCGGCGAGTAAAACCCCGCAAACGCCGCCGCGCCGACGGCCCCGCCGGCGCCGCCGCTGGGCACGCGCGTGTGCTGCGGGAACGGCGCCGGGCGGGGGGCGCCGCCCGAGTAAGAGGGGTACAGGGGTACATAGGGCTGCTGCTGGTGCTGCTGCTGCAGCGGCGGCGCGCCAAACGGCGACGGCATCCGCACCCCGCCGCCGACCTCTTGCGGACCCGCCACGCCGCCGCCGTGGCGCGGCTGCGCACGGGAGGGCGGCAGGCCCGCGGTGGCGGCGCCCGCGTCCCCTACTAGCGCCGCGAGCGTGTTGGGGGACGGCGGCTGGGGGCCCCACTGCGCCGTCAGGGGGCCGCGCTGGGACGACGATGATGTCAGCATGGAAGGCAGGTGGGCGGGCGCGACGCCGCCGGCGCCGCTGCCCGCCGTGCTCAGCGGCGGCGTCGGCGTCGCCGCGGCCGGCGCCGGCGCCGGCGCCGCGCTGGCGGCGGTGTCATCGACGTTCTCCGCCGGCCGGGGCGCGGTGGGCGCGGCGCCGTCCCACCTCGCATCGCCGGCGTTGAAGCCGTTTGCAAAGGAGACTGATCGCATGGGGGACCCTTTCTTGGGACTGCCAGGGCTCTGGGGATAGCGCACCGCCGACGCCGGCGCGTCGCCGCCGTCCGTCAGCGGGGAGCCAAGTGCCCTTGCCGCGGCGGCGGCCGCGCGGGGGCTGCCACTGGCGCGCGGGCTGGACGGCGGCCGGGCGGTGGCGGCGGCGCCGTCGCCGCCCTGGTCCAAATCTGCAGAGCGCGGAGCGTTGCTGGCTGAGCCCTGAGTGAACGACGGGCTGCTCAAGGCAGTGGCTACCCGCAGCGGCTGCGACCCACCTGCACCTGCCACCGCGGCCCCGGCCCCGCCTGGGGGCTGCGGCACACCGTGCGCCTGCGCGAGCTCGCCCGATGGGGCGGCGCTGATCTGGGCGCTGCTGCCCGCGCGCAGCTGTGCTTGCGGGAGCAGCGACGGCCCGCGCCGCGGCGTCGGCGCGCCGCTGCTCCCGGGGCCGCCGGGCCACGGCACTGAGGGCGCGCTTGACCAGAGTTGCTGCTGCTGCTGCTGCTGGATCCAGTAAGCTGCATCCGGGCGAAGCTCATGCGAGCCGGCCGGCATAAGGGGGCGGCCGTCGCCCCCAACACCGTACTGCTGCTGCTGCTGCAACTGCTGCTGCTGCAGTAGCAGCAGCTGCTGCTGTTGAAGCAGTAGCAGCTGCTGCTGCTGCTGTTGCTGCTGTTGCTGCTGTTGCTGCTGCTCGTGCCAGGCCTGCTCTTGCCACAGCTGGTGGCCACTTGCATCCTGCCACTCGCCGGGGCCATAACCGGCGGGAGGACCCCACGCCGCCCGCGGCGGCTGCGGCGGCTGAGGCGCCCGCATCCCAGCGCCGCGCGAGCCCGTCATC